GTAATCATAGCAGTTTTCATCCATAGTATGTCCATTTAAACGTCTGCGTTTAGCTTCAAATGGCGTCTTTGACGACAGCATTCTTTAAAAATTATTTGCATTCCGATCTTGACATCAAAAGGCACAAACATTTTTTTTTTATTTTATTCCATGGATTTTACCCATTTACCTCCACTTGTTCCCAGTGTTTTTCTGCAACCACAATGCGCGCGCAGCTGCAAGTGACGTAACTGTGACGTCTACTCTGAATTGGTCTATAGGCGCGTTTCCATTACCCTTCAAATTGTGCAAAATTGAAATTGCGAATTGAAAATACACCTAATGGAAACGCGTTAATTTCGCAAAAAAACGCCCATATATCGCAACAAAAAGTTTTTACGCTCGCATGAGGTGGTTTTTCAGGCAATGAGAAAAAGGAATAATTCGCAAAACTGCAATGGAAACGTTTTTTTCGCATTTACAGGTCACATGGTAATTTAGAAAATATCGCCAAAGTTTTGCGCAGATCTTTAATGGAAACTCGCCTTATGTTTCCATCACCCTATTTTTATGCACATTTTGAAGTATCGCATGAGAGACGAGTGATGGAAACGCCAAATTTCGAATAAAAATCCCTTAATTCGCAAAAAAGTTTTTACGCTCGCTTGTTTTTTAATTTATTATATATGAAAATTATTATATTCTCCAACTTTTCTTAGTGATTTATAGTGCCAGTTTATCAGGAAGTGACGATTTTGTTCTATTTGACTTGTTGGATGGAAACGATGCTTGTTCGCAAATGTTTTATGCAATATTCCAGTTTTGCGCATCTTTCGCAACTTTGGATGGAAACCTGTTTGATATGAATGAGCGCAGCGTGACTGCAGATGTCTCTGTGTGTGAAACAGGGCGCCACTGAAGCTGCTCTGCGAGACCATGAAGCACCAGATCATCTCCCGCGCTTTCTACGGCTGTACGTATCACGTCAGGCTCATGGTCTGCTGATGCACTTGAGCACTTTCTCATGACGTGATGTGTGTGTTTTTAAGGGCTGGCGTACTGCCGTCACCTGTCCACCGTTCGCCCACACCTGTCTGCTCTGGTGAACCCCGCTATCATTGAGCCAGACCTCCCCTATGATGCCAGAGGCGGTCTGTCTGCAGACGTGTGGAAGACCTTTCTACAGGACAGCACTGTATGTGACCTTCACTATCTAGTGCACTTGATGTTTCATAAATGATCAGTTGAAACGTTCTGTACAGCAGGGTTATTCTAGTGAACTCAAACCATGGAAAACGCTGACTTGAAATGATAAACGTTAACTGAAATAATGTAAAATATTAAAACAATCATTTCAACTAGTAGCTAAGAATTTTATTTTTTTGTTATTTAGTTGACTTGATGTACTAAAATTAAATTTATCTCAGTGATACTTGAAAAAATATTTAAAATATTAATAATAACTATCATAGTATCTCAATGATACTGTTACCGTAAAAACATTTTAAATATTAGTAAAACTATAATAGTATCTCAGTGATTTTATATGTAATCATAAAAACATACTTAAAATATTAATACAAATTATAATTTAGTTATTATAATTATAATTGTATTTCAATGATACTGTTACCATAAAAAAAAGTTGAAAATATTAATAAAAACTATAATATATTTCCAAAGATATGGTTACTATAAAAATATACTTAAAACTATAATAGTATCTCTATTATATGATGTAGTATGATGCTATGTTACCTTTAAAATATATTAAAAATTTTAATAAAAATGATAATAGAATCTCAATATTATATTACCATAAAAACCTATTCAAAATGTTTAAAAAAAATTATAACAGTATCTCAGTGATATTATATGTAATCATAAAACATACTTAAAATATTAATAAAAACTATAATAGTATCTCAATGATACGGTTACCTTAAAAACATATTTAAAATATGAATAAAACAATAATAGTTTCTCAATGATACGGTTACCTTAAAAACATATTTAAAATATTAATAAAACAATAATAGTTTCTCAATGATACGGTTACCTTAAAAACATATTTAAAATATTAATAAAACAATAATAGTTTCTCAATGATACGGTTACCTTAAAAACATATTTAAAATATTAATAAAACAATAATAGTTTCTCAATGATACGGTTACCTTAAAAACATATTTAAAATATTAATACAAATTATAATAGTAACTCAATGATACTATGTGTTACTGTAAAAGCAATTCAAAAATATTTTATTAACAATTATATTGTTATAAAGACATAATTTAAAGAAAATCTATTTAGTATTTAAATTTTAAAAAATCTAATAGGATCTCAATGATACGGTCACCTTAAAAACATACTTAAAATATTAATACAAATTAGAATAGTATACTATCCAAATGCTCTTACCTGTTAAAAAAACATTAAAAATATTAATAAAACTATAATATTATTCCGAAGATACTATGTTACTATAAAAACATATTGTAAATGTGAATGAAAGCTGTGATATTATCTCTGCTGTGCAGGCGTACGAGGAGGAGGAGCTGCTTCGGCTGGTGTATTACGGCGGCGTGGAGCCGTCTCTTCGTAAAGAGGTCTGGCCCTTCCTTCTGGGCCACTACCACTTCAGCATGAGCCTCACAGAGCGCAAAGAGGTGAGCCGAAGTCACTGTTTGATCCATAGACCAGATGGACGCAGGAGGAGCATAACCCTGCCGTTCTCTGCAGGTGGACGAGCAGATTCGAGCGTGTTACGAGCAGACCATGAGCGAGTGGCTGGGATGTGAAGCCATCGTGCGTCAGCGGGAGAAGGAGCAGCACGCCGCCGCTCTGGCCAAATGCGCGTCCGGTGCCAGCGTGGACCACGGCTTGCGCCAAGACTCCACCATCAGCACGGATGTAAATGCTGACGCTCAATAGGGCTGGGACAATAAACCGATGCATCGCGTTTTGTGGATCGATTCTGAGATTATCGGAATGCATCGTGATTCTCTCTGGAATCGATTCTGAGCTTAGTTTTTAACAGCAGATGGCGCTCTAGGCTAGTTTTTAACCTCCTGGATCTTTCTGCAGCGTTCGACACTGTTGATCACGGGATACTTCTCAACTGGCTACATCACTCCATTGGACTTAATAACATCGTCCTGCGCTGGTTTGAGTAATACCTCACGGACAGATCTGAGTTTGTGGCCATGGGAAGCTCAAGGTCCCGTTCACATGCTGTTGGATGCGGGGTTCCACAAGGATCAGTTCTCGGACCTATTTTTTCATTCTCTACATGCTCTCCCTTGGCAAAGTCATCAGTCGTTTGGGAATTTCCTTCCATTGTTACGCTGATGATACACAACTATATATGAAAGCTGATACTCACTCATCATCATCGTCATCATCATCATCAGCAACATTATCTACACTCACTGCCTGTCTGGAGGAGATAAGGGCGTGGATGAATCATAACTTTCTCCAGCTGAACAGCTCAAAAACAGAAGCCATCCTCATTGGTTCCCCTCATCAGATCAGAACATCTGCCATAACTTGCATTACATTTTCTGGCCAGGACATTCCCTTATCACCATTAGTCACCAATCTCGGCGTTAGGTTTGACCCTCATTTAACCTTTGAGGCTCACATTAAACGTCTTTGCAAAACATCATTTCATCACCTCAGGAATATAGCCAGACTTCGTCCTACACTCACCTTACATGATGCTGAGAAACTCGCCCATGCCTTTGTCTCCTCCAGACTGGACTACTGCAACTCTCTTCTCATCGGGATCCCTAGCAAGAGCATCCTGAAACTCCAGCACATACAAAATAGTGCCGCTAGGATCCTGAGGAGAGTGCGTAAATATGAAAACATCACACCAATTCTTCAATCATTACACTGGCTTCCCATTTCCGCCCGCATTGAATACAAAGTCTCCCTCCTCACACATCAGTGCATTCATGGCAATGCTCCCATTTACCTTAAAGAACTCCTCACCTCACAGATTTCAGCACGTTCTCCCCGTTCCACAAACACTTATCGTCTTCTCGCCCCTAGGACTAAGACTCGCACCATTGGGGATCGAGCCTTTTGCGCCTGTGGAATGCCCTCCCTGAACATCTGAGGGCTCCACAGACAACTGATTGTTTTAAAAGGGGTCTAAAAACGTACCTGTTTAAAAAGTCTTTTAATGTTTAAACTTTTGTGTTTATCTCAGTTGGTAGCTGGTTTTAATTATATTTTTATATTATTATGGCTCTTTTTGTAGCACTTTGAGATTTTCTTTAAAATGTAAAGTGCTTTATAAATAAAATGTATTATTATTTAACTGCCCACTCAAATGCTCACGAAGAAGAGCGCTTGTATGTTCGGTTGAGTAATGTAAGTGGTTAAATGTACTTGCACATCGGCTTTTATGATGCGAGATTAATGTAAACACAGCCCACTGTGAACATCCTTGTAATTCGCTTCAACCTTTTCGAACTTTATGAATGATTATTTTAGGTTCAAATGGTGTGTGTGTAAGGAACTGGAAGCAAGCAGAATTCGGCTATTTCTAAAGCACGCAGTGCCATCTGCTGTTAAAAACTAAGCTCAGAATCGATTCAAGAGAGAATCACGACGCCTTCGGAAAATCTCAGAATCGATGCAGAATCATTTCTCGATTCGCGATGCATCGATTTATTGTCCCAGCCCTAACGCTCGAGTGGCCTGTAAATGTGCGCTGCGGTTTGCATGCAGCTTTACTGAATGCCTTTGTGTTTCTCTCTCCAGTCGTCTCAGAGCAGCAGCAGCAGCTCCGATAAACAGAGTCACGCCGGATCACACAGCCAATCCAACAGCAGCACTCAGGTCAGACGCCTCACGTTCAACACAACCTACGTTATTGCTCTCGCAGATCTTATTAATGCTTTGTCTCAGGTGCTTCTCTTAAAATAAGGAGACACAAATAGCTGTCATACAATATGAATGCAGAGCTATAAACTGAACGTAGAGCAGCTCAGTTCATGTGATCTTTGAATTTACTGAGAAATCTCTGACTTTTGGAATTTCATTTCATTTTAAGCAAGAAAAAAAAATCTATGTAATAAAAATAAAGTTTTTTAATAATTGAATAAATAATTTAATTTAATAAAATGCAATGGGTATTTACTTTCGTAATAAATGTTTCTTTAAAAATGTCACAAGAAAATGTGTTTGTCTTAATGACCTTTCGTAATAATAATAATATTATAATAAAATCTTTCCCATCTCTGAAATAACTTGTTTTATCTGTTGATGTAACCAAGTTCATGTGGGCAGGGATAAAATAATGTTAACCAATAATATCGTAACCTGATATTTCATATTTCACAAATCTAATTTAATTAAATTTAATTTTAATAAAGCATCATTTTAATTTTATATATTACATTTAATCAAATGCTATGGATTTTTTACTTGATTAATACACTTTTTAAAAATTATAATATTTTATTATATAATTATAATTGTAATAATTTCTTTAAAAATATAATAATTTTTAAAACATTCCAATGAAAAAAAAAGTTTAAATATTTCTTTAAAAATATAATTTAATAATCTTTCGCCAAAAAAAAACTTCTTCTATTTCTGATATACTTTTACTGCTCACATAACCAGTTTAGTTATAATAATTTATATACTATAATATGCTGGTTTCAGGTTGATTTTTCTTCCTCCTGTCTATTTCTCCATCCTCAGGTGTTCGGCTCTGTAGACGAGGTGGACCCGATCGAATCTGAGCCCAAACCCAAAGACGAGAAGCCGCAGCCCAAAATCCCAAACGGCGCTCTGCCCAACTGCACCAGTTCTCCAGACTCCGGACACCCATCGTCCCGTAACTTCTCCGTGACCTCGGCGATCTCAGACTGCTCTCCGAGCACAGAGGAGACGTCCACGCAAGAGTCGGGGCCCAAAACCGCTGGCCGAGGGCCGCCATCAGGAGACCAGACGGATGAGAAGACCAAAGAGGAGCGACCAGAAAACCGCTTGACTACTCAGGACACGGTCAAAGAAGATGATGTAGATTCACACACAGAGAGCGCTGCTTCAGAAGCTGCGATAAAACCTCTGGAAAGTGACAAGCTGCAGACTTCGAATGCAGAGGAAACATCTCGGGACGTAGAGTCAGAAGACGCAAACTCAAAAAACGCAGCTGAAATGCAAAACAGTGCCAGGAAATCTGAAGAAAATGACACGAATGAATCAAAAGATCCTGTTGAAGACACAACAAAGTCCACGGAGTCGAAAGAGGCTGAGATTGAAGATCCACGACGTGCGTCTTCGCCGTCTGGAGAAGAAAACGCAAAATCTAAGACTGACCCAAAACTGGCTTTGAAAGTGGACGAAGGCCAAGATGCAGACTCCGAATCGCTGGACGTTCTGAAAATCTCTCAAACGGATGAAAACAAACCTGAGGCTTTGGGAAAAGACACATCTGAACCGCAGAATGTGACACAAACCCAGAATGAAGCCGAAACTATCAGCTGGGACGCCAATCACAGCAGGTCCCGATCGATCATCAGACAAATGACCGAATCTGAGTCGGAGAGCTGCGGTCCCATCACCTCCCTATCGAAACAATCCCCAGACATGTCTGACGACTCGCCCTCGGCGCTGGAAATGGAGGAGATTGCTTCATCGGTGGTTTATATGTCCTCGGAGAGCGGCGTGTCCAGGACGCCTCTGACTTTGGCTCGTCCCGTGGCGCCGGCTCTGGAGCTCTGCATGGTCAACACAAGTCCGGAGGGAACAGACTCTGCGCTCTCGGAGGAGGAACCGGAGATGGACAACTTATTCCCCAAACCAGACTCTCTAGCCGTCACAGGAGACAAGAACGACATCGCGTCTCCAGTGTCGTCTATCGGGACGACCTACTCGGTAGGGTTGGGTACCGAACTCTGTACTTTTAAGGGTACCGACCGAATTGCATCGGTACTACCGAGTACCGATTCACGTTAAATCAATCGGTGCCACATTTCGGTACCTGAGAACGCATCTTGGCGCATACGCTACAGAGAGAGAAAGAGAAACCCTGTGACGTGAGGTCACCCCTGCAACTCGTTCAAACAACAC